AAATACGATAATTTTGAGCTGCTGATACGATAATTCAACATTTCCCACCTGGCAACACTGGCAAGGCCTCGCAGTTCCAGTTTTCGTTCTGACTTGTTGCACTAGCTAGCTTCTCATCTTTCCAGTAGCATGCTGTTTTGCTGCGGGAGGTTGTTCTCTCTTTTGTCTGTTTAGTATATCCATGTAATGTAGCAATGTAGTCCGCAGAGTTCGGATAATTAATTGCCATGCCAAAAAAAAAAAAAGCCGATTATACACATTATTGTTTTTCGTCTGAGTGAAGTCCTGGCGGCAAAGCGCATTGATTGAGTCACAGCTTTCTTCTTTTAGTAGCTTTGCTTGATTTTCCTAGAGGAATTTGGTAAAAAGAACAATGTTATCCGCTGTCTTTTACTCGGTCACGTTGCCTCGAGCAGTTATACACACTACAAAAGTCACTTTCCCCAACTCGATTGGCGGCTTCCCCCGGCTTCCGGCTGAGACGCTAAAAATGCGTGTGCGCATGCGTGATGACGTCAATTGGTAAAAGGTCTATTCCTTTGCTCAACCAACTCTTTTCAGCTTGACTGAGATCAAAAGGACCAGATTCTCCATTAAATGTGAAAAAGAAGGAAAAGATAAATGAATGTTTTCTGTGTATTTATTTCTGTTTCCATATGTCTTGATCAAAGAAATATGATTTTAGTCTGTCCTCCTACAGAAAGAAAAGGCCTGCCTGAAGATCCACTAAGTCTTGCTTAATTAACTGTTCAGCAGAATAGCTGTGTGAAGAAGATGTGTCTTATATTTAAGGATTTAAGAAGTGTGTTTTGTTGATCTATACATGTTTAATCTTTAGAAAATTTAGGATTTGACTTTAATAATTAAATGTGTCACAATCTCATCTCTCTCTAAGGCAACCAGATGTCTTCCCCTCTTTAATTAGATGCAAAATAATCAAACTAAAACACTCCCTCTTTGTCTGAGGTATAAACTTTCCCTCCAAAACGTTTTATTTGTTGAACCTTTTTAAGTGATACTTTTAGTGATGCTCTGTAACATTTCATTGGATGATTTAAAATCATAACTCCGCCCCAAACAGAGGTCTTAAAAGTGAGAGCACTCCCAAATTAGAGGAAGCTGAAGTTAGTTAACGTTGATGTCAGTTTTCAGAAGCTCAGCAGATGCCCTGCCTGCAGCCCTTCCCCCATGGGCTGGGCAAGACTGTGGTCCTTCTGCATCTCCCGCTGAGTGGACTCATGTTAGCTCAACACCTGAGCTTGATTTTTATAAAAGTTAAATTAGCTCATTTTAATTTATACATCGCTTTAGTCCATTTTGCTACGAAGTCTGGACCAACTTCCACGCTCTGAGGCATCCTGGGACGCAGGCAGTGCTAGTCCACCTTTCTTCACTAGATCACAGCCCAGCTTTCTGACTGAAGGACCGGAAGCTGAACAGACATCCTGAGTGTCTGACAGGCCACTACACTGAAGCAGTTCTTTGGGAAACATCACCTGAAGTTCTCCGGTTCGCCGACACCTTCTTCCTGGTACCATTAATCAGCAGAACAAATGGGTATGGAAGCTAACATTTTGCTGGTGACAAATTAAAGGTGCTCAGTTAAGTTGATCCTTATCTTTCGTAAGAAATTTGATAAAATATAAAACTGTATACATACAGCACTCCCTCATTTAACTAGGACTTTAGTTAAATTCTCTTTCTTAAGAGAACTCCATCATTTCTGCCTCAAAACCCCTTTAATGTTATTTGTTTGTTTGTTTGTTGTTTTATGTGCTCACTTGTTATTGCTCAAACTATTTCAGTATTTACCTGGTTCAATAATGTTTTCATTTCATACTTGTGATAGTGTGCAGATACATTTTAATCTGTAAATAAATGGCCCGTGGAGAATGTGCCAACATAAGCTAATGTCTCTTTTGTGTCTTGATAAGGTTTTATTGATTTTATAAGCGAAGAACTCCAGAAAATTCTGGGTAGATTTATTGTGAGACTGATTATAATGAAGTTACAGGTTTCCTTCTCTTTCCTGGGTTATGATTTTTAACCAAATTAAGGCTCGTGGTGCCTTGAGGTAGGATAATTTATGAATTTAATAATCCATAAATTTATCGATTAATATACCCAAAACCCCCCTACAAGAGACAGCCTCAAAATGAGTTGATCTGAGACACACTTTATAAAAGGGGTGGGGCTTTTGGAGTTACAATAAGAAGGATTACAGACTAAAGCATTGCAGTTTCTCTTTATATAGACCGCAACTGAAGGATTTAAATGTGAAAAAGGAGGATTTAAAAGCATCATATTTCTCCTTTAAAGCTGAAATTGTTGAACATCAGAAGAAAAACTCTTATCTTTCTCTTGAAAATARATTTGAAAAAAAAAAGTTTCAGTTTATAGACAAACATGAATAATTAAAAATAGTTCAAAAATTTACAACAATCAAGAATTAGGCACTGAAGCAACCACAGTGTTTCAAGAGGGAGACTGTTTGTCTCCTGACATTTCTTGAAAAAAAAGCTGTATTTAATGAGGAAAAAGATTATTTTGATCTGTGAACAGGTGGCGGGACTTCAGTCACTACTGGGGTCAATTTTTTCACAGTGGGATGAAAGACAGTTAAATAAAGTAAAATACTATTTGAGGTACAGCAGATTATTAAAGCTTAAACACAAGAGTGTTTAAATCCACACATTTTATGTAAACAAAAACACTTCCACAACAGGAAGTTCTTACCCCGTGTGATGGATATGTCAGCCAGCCCCAGTCTCCTGTGATTGTTGTTGTGTCAAGAAGATTCACTGAAGACAAAAACAAAACAAGAGGTGATGAACTTTTTCTCATTCATCCTGTTCTTGATCACTAGCATCAGTGTGAACTCTCTCTCTCTCTCTCACACGCACACACACACACACACACACACACACACACACACACACACACACACA